AAGAATAATCGGAAAATGTTTACAATTACACCGAAAAGTCTTCAATATCCTTCATTTTGAAGTTAGTCGCGAAGGATATTGGTAAAACCATTGCAGAGTGTAACCACATCCAATGTTTATGTCCGAAACAATTTCAACGTTTGCATAGGTAAACCCTAGAAACCAACCGTGACCGCTGTATTAAATTGCAGAATTACAGCTCGGTCCCAATACGCAACCGCACATTTTGTGGCATTTTGCACTTTTCGTCCGTTCATAGTTCTCATTTCCAAAACTACCTCCGCCTCTTAACTGCTGACAACAACAACAGTGACATCCATATCAAATTTCAGATTTCAAGCACTATCTGTTCACCCAATACAAATTTTATCAACTTTAATTCACAAGTCTTCCATCAACCGGAATCCTAATACCAAAATTTTGAAATTCCAGCTCTGTTCTATACCTTCAACCCAATAGCAAATTTAGTACCTTTTGTACAATTATGGTACACATGTCCTAAACCATCTCCATATCTCAATTCCAGATAACTCAATATGAGAATTCGAGATTCCAGCTCTATCCCTTCACCCAATACCTAATTTAGTACCACTTAGTAGTTTTCGAACAATTATTTAAATTTAGTAACTTTCGTACTATTCTAGTTTCCAAAACCATATCCATATCACAATCCTAGATAGCAACGGAATATAACATTTTAGAATTCCGGTTCGATTTTACCAATATCAAATGTTTCTACGTTTCACCCAATACCAAATGTTTTACTATTTAGTACTTTTTGTACAATAATAGTACACATTTCAGAAACCACCCACATATTTTCAGGCTTATCAATTCAATTGTTCACAATTGAACCACATAGAGTACTATTTAGTACACATAAGTACGCATATTCAAATGATCCTACATACATACAATTCTATACTCCAACAGCAATCTAAATTTAACTTTCAGGATTGCAGTCCACACAAATCCAAATTGTACCAAATTTAGTACACATAAGTACGAATTTCCAAAACTACCTTCATATCTCACAGATACAATCCCATAGATATCTTCTTTCCAAATTTTAGAATTCCAGCTCTATCGGTTCACCGCAATCCCAATATGTACCCAATTTAGCATCCTTTAATCCCACAGTAATCAGAAATCCAAATTTCAAGATCGGTTCAGATCAGTTCGACGACAAATATATAAGCTGTACCAAAATAAGTACCATTTAGAACACTTAAGTACGAATTTTCAAAACTTACTGCATGGTCAGGGTATTATGTCTTTGTGCATTTGTTTGTAAAAGACAAAAAGGAACGAGATAGTAGAATAACATTCTGAGTCGATTTATGCATGTCCGACCGTCTGTCCATATATTTTGTAAACAAATTACAGGTTGAATTTATTGCGTGTATAATCCAAACCCTACTGAAATTGGAGATAATCGGTCAACATTCAGATATAGTTTCCATATATATATTCGCTCGACACGACAAATTTAAGCCTGGACATAAGTTTGCCACATCTGATCGAAATCGGTTCCGATATAGCTAAAGCACCCATATATATTGTTCTTCCGATTTGATATCCTTCGCAGCCGTAGTATGCACGCTGACACAACGATATTTGGGGAAATATATCAAATACAGCACAGAAATACCTTTCCCAAATGTTATCGAGATCGGCTCAGATTTGGATAAAGCTCCCATATATATCCTTGTCCGATTTGCCTTTTATTGTGCACCAAACGTTTAATATTAGTCCGAATGCGATGGCACTTACGACTAAATTGAGCCTACAAATAAATATGTCAAATTTGGTGAAAATCGGTTCAGATATACCTATAGCTCCCATACATATTGTTCATCCGATTTGTTATATTGTTTATACCCTCCACCATATATAGTATGGAGGGTATATTAAGTTCGTCATTCCGTTCGTAACTCATCGAAATAATCATTTTAGACCCAACAAAGTATATATATTCTTGATCAGCGTAAAATTCTAAGACGATTTAGCTCTGTCCGTCTGTCCGTCTGTTGTAATCACGCTACAGTCTAAACGAATTAAGATAGGAAGCTAACATTTTGCACAGATCGCTCTTTCGTCTGCTGGCAGGTCAAGTTCGAAGATGGGCTATACCGGTCCACGATATCGTATAGCCCCCATATAATGGTACCCCCCGATATTCGGTATTTTGATGATGTTAGTCACATTTTTCAATGGAATTGTTTGAAATTCCACACAAGGAGTCCCTAGTGGGTACTTTATACCTCAAAAGAGAATTATCTATATAAGTCCACGATATCGTATAGCCCCCATATAACGGTACCCCTCGATATTCGGTATTTTCATGATTTTACCCGCATTTTTCAACTGAATTGTCTGATAATCCACACAAGGAGTTCCTTGTTAGTACTTTGTCCCTTGGAAGAGAATTATCTATATTGGTCCACGATATCGTATAGCCCCCATATAACGGTAACCCCCGATATTCGGTATTTTGATGATTTTAGCCATATTTTCCTACGGTATTGTCTGAAATTCCACACAAGGAGTTCTTTGTGAGCACTTTAACCCCTGAAAGGTAATTGTCGATATAGGTCCACAATATCGTATATCCTCGCATATATTGATGGATTTTATTTTTTTGTAAATTTTCTAATTCTTTCCAAATGGTGGAGGGTATTCAAAGTTCGGCCTGGCCGAACTTACTGCTTTTTTACTTGTTTACCTTTTATTTGTTAGATGAAGGTCTATTAAATATGCGAGTGTAGGGCATCATAAATTCGGCCCCGCTCGACTTTTAGATTTATTTTACTAATTTTCATACACATGAGTACAAACTTCCAAAACTACCTCCTTCAACCTTGATTCACATTCCAAATTTCTCTCTAACCGTTCACAGGCAATTTCATTGACATTATTATACCCTACAACACTATGTGTTGGGGGGTATTATAAGTTTGATTGGGCCAAAAATTATGTTACACCTCGATATATTGGTTTCCCACATAGGAAAGTATATATGGGTCTTCCTATCTCCCCGAGCTGAGTCGATCTAGCTATGTATGTCCGTCCGTCTGTCTATGTTAATTTATAATCAAGCTACAGGTCGCAATAATGAACTGATCCTCACGAAATTGAAAATGGAGGTGGGATTATAGTCAGAATAGAACCCTATTTTTTTTTTTTTTTGGAGATGATCGCACGATATTTAGGGGTTGAAATGGACCAAAAACAGAACAATTTCCTGATTTTGCAGTTGCTCTATAGGCCACAATTATGAACAAATCGACGCGAAAATTTATATGGAGTTAGATTTTAGTAGAGGGCAGAAACCTATCAATCGGACAATAATTACAGGGTAAAATAGACCCTAAATTTTATGTAAGAAAATAGGTAAATTTGAACTAAACCGCGAATATTTTCAATGCCAGCCATATCACAAATACATTAAAAGATAAATTCTGGCCAGTACAGTGATGCTACTAGCCAAGAAATCGGATATATAGCAAAATAGGTACAATATATATGTAAAGGAATTGATCTTATTTATTCTGTTTATAAATCAAGAACCGCTGGGCCGATTTTCACAATTCCCATCAATTCGGAAAGGCCTCTTGCCAGAAAACGATGAAATCTAAGAAAATCGCGAAAAATAGACCAATAAAAAGTGAATATCTTTTGTCGATTTTTTTCAATTTTTGTCACATTTTTTATCGCATGCAATTTTTTCAATTTGACTTACAAATAAATTGTAAATTTTCTAAATTTTTACACCGCCCAACACTACGTTTTGAGGGTATTATATGCATATCGCAATTATCGTCCGATCCTCACGAAATTTTGCATGGGGGTAGGGTTAGGGCCATAATTAAAGCATATTTTTCTTAAGATGTACATTCAGAGGAGCAAATGGACTAAAAAAAATTTAATTTTTTTCTAATTTTGTAGTCGCTCTATAGGCCACAATTGAAAACTAATCGACACGGAATTTCGCATCAGAAGAGAGTTAAAGACAGGGAAGAAGTCTAGCATTTTGGATGGCTGTAAAATGGACCACAACTTTCGTGTGAAATTTCTTTGATAACTTAACAACACTACGGAGTGCGAAAATATTGGCCAAATGCTCCGGGTTCAAAAACTAAGGGTAACCTCTGGGCAGGGCTCTTTGACATTATTTCAAAAACGAAATCTTCCAAAATGGATTTGGATATAAGGGGACTTCGAACATATTGTTATAGGGTATCACGTGGTCGTCTCTGCACGACTATAGCCTTTGCTTACTTGTTTTTACCATGAATTCCAAAAATCTTTAATATATAATATCGGGCGGTGCTTTTACATGAGGGCAACACGAAAAGGTGAATCGTCATAGGTCATCTTCTAAGATAACACATGTGACATCCCTCAAAATTATATATCACTCTCTTCAAAAAAAAAAAAAATAAATAAATAATAATAATAATAATAATAATAATAATAATAATAATAATAATAATAATAATAATAAATAAATAAAAATAATTAAAAAAGTTAATTAAATAAGTTTTGTTTAGAAAATATAGCTGATTTTCAGCTACTATTGACTATTGAAGGATGAAATTTCCATATTGCAGAGGTATTTCGATCTTCCCCATCAAATTTTCAGCTGAATGTTCTACATATTGGAATTTTTTTATAAAAAGCAGGCAGAATAGTTTCCTTAATAACTCACTTCAATGCGATTTAAAATTTAAGACGGGTTAAAAATTCTGTATTCATTAACATTTTTAATATAAATCTCTTCATTCAAAAATGTAGCATAAGGAGCCATACAATAGACCTTCATCGACCGTGATTATTTACTCAGCGAAGTGCCCTTAATTTGTGGAGGGCATACAAAAATTATTTTTCTATCAACAGCAAATTTACCTCCAACGATGTATATTCCAATAACCAAATTTACTACGCTTACTAAGAGGAAACTATTAATTTCAAAACAAATCGACAAATATATGCTTTAAACAAAATGATTTATTACAAATCTTTGGGCTGATACCCAAACAACAATTAACAACGTTTATAAAAAAACAATTACAGTCGGCGCCAGTAATATTGATTATTACACCATTTAATGAGATCTGAAACGATAACGTTTGACAACGCGATAGTGGTAACCATCTTGGCCAAGATCTCCACTGGGTGGCAAGTAGGTTTGTTGGGGTTGAGCAGGAGGCAAGTAGGTCTGTTGAGGTTGAGCAGGAGGCAAGTAGGTCTGTTGAGGTTGGGCAGGGGGCAAATAGGTCTGTTGAGGTTGGGCAGGAGGCAAGTAGGTCTGCTGGGGTTCAGCAGGTGGCAAATAGGTCTGTTGGGGTTCAGCAGGTGGCAAGTAAGTTTGCTGGGGTTGGGCAGGAGGCAAATAGGTTTGTTGAGGTGCTACAGGAGCCTGATAGTCATAACCACCTTGTTGAACGGGAGCACTGTAGCCATAACCTGCATCCTGTTTGGGATAATCATATGCCCCACTCAAATGCGAGACATCAGCAGCAGCAACGCCCAAAATGGCACATACCAAAGCCAAAGTGAATTTCTGAAAAAATTCAAATTCAAATTATTAACACATAATAGCGGAAATTGATTTTTAATTTTTAAATGCTCACCATTGTTGCAATGTTGTCTTGTCCGAACTTTATGTTGTAAAGACTGAATGCGTATTGTTATAGTTTCGTTGAAATCTCTGCGCTTTTATAGTCATCATTTGTCAAAGAAGATTTATTTTTTTGGTTTCTTATCTATCTTCTTCGTTTATAATTAGTCTAACATTGAAATACACACATCTTATTTCATTGATACGAATTAAAATAAAATAATAACCGAAAAATTTCAAATTTTTGAGGAAATGATATTGGGTACAACTGTGAGATGTTGTCGGTTTATTGATTTTGTTGTAATACTTATATTTTGAATTATGACAAGAAAATACGTCATTAACTTTGGCCGATAATTTAATATGCTCCACAGGGGAGGAACTTGTGTAGCCAGATGGGGTGTCATCAAAATATGAACGATATGCCATAGCTTTAAACGTATTGAATATCATTACAAACCCAAAATTCAAAATTGTACAACATTCAGTAGGAAATTATAGGTAGGAACTTCAAAATACCAATATTTATGATGTAAAGATTTATGGGTGGTGTTCTAATACCTTGATTTACATTGAGCATAATTTACATAGCGGGTAAGTATATTAGACACTAAAAATATAAAATCACAACAATGGGCCTTTAAAGGACTTCGAATTACGCAAAATCGGATTAACTCTAATTTGGAGTCTGTGTTGAATTTTTATTCAACTAGAATCCAAGATGCCAAATTATAATTATTTCAAGTTAAAATTTAATTAGCAACCTATATTACCATTCTTTCAATTGGAAAACCCAAAAATCAGCTAGATCGAATTGAAAACCTATAGTGGAAACTTTTTGCAGAAACTTGAGAACTTGAAATGTTAAATTACTGGTTGTTTGATTTGAAAATGATCCAGAAATTATGAAATTGTCTTACATGGACAGATTTAAACTGAGAAGAATTTAATAAGATATATTTTGCCAATTGAAAAAATGACTGACGAAATGACTCATGTCTGAGAATTTTCTAAGACTATATCCACCTCTCAATATTCTTTTTTTTCAATTTTGAATTTTTATTGTCCTAAAACCGAAGACCTTTGACATTCCAACAGGACTCAGCACCATCGCACTCAACAATCGCCGCCCAAGAATGGTTACAAAATGAGGTTTCTCGCTTCATTTCCAGCGCACAATGACCACCAAAATCTCCGGATACCAATCCCTTGGACTATTGTGTCTAGAGTATTTTGGAAAGTAAGGTTAGCACTCAACAAGTAAGCAAAGGCTATAGTCTTGCGGGGCCCACTATGTGATACCCTACAACACTACAATGTGTTAGAAGCCCCCTTATGTCCAAATCCATCTAGGGACATTTACCCAATATTTATGCACTCCTTCGGGCTGTTAGTTTTTGTGGTCCATTTTACAGCTAAATATAATCCAATGGTCCATTTCAACCTATAATATATTGCGGACATCTTTGAAAACAATAGACCTAGCCCTTCTGAGCCCAACTCTCCCCTTGTCAAAATGTTCGTGAAGATCGGGCGATATTTGCAATACTTATATAATATCCCCAACCCAACAAAATATTATAAGTCAAATTGAAAAAATCGCATGCGAAAAAAATATGAAAAAATAAAAATATGTCACAAAATACTACAAAATCTATATTAACATCATTATTTGCATATTTTTCTGCGATTTTTTTGAATTTATATACTTTTATGTCAAGAGGGCATTCTGAATTGACAAAATTTGTCAAAATCGGTCCAGCCATTCTTGAGATAAGAGCATTCTAACTAACATCTCCTTCTTTTGTATTTACACATTGTATATATTTCGCTATATACAACCGATATATTTACTATCGGCATCTACGTAACGGTCAGAATTTGTCACAAATGTTGTGGTCTATTTCACCCACTACATATTAGCCGATGACCATCAAAATTTGAAGGCTTCTGCCCAGCCCTAAGCTCTAGCCCCATGCTGACTTTCGTGTCGATTGGTCTTTAATTGCGACCTATAGAGTAACTTAAATATCAGGAATTTTTTCAGTTTTTGGTCCATTTCAACCCCTAAATATTATGCGATCATCTCCAAAAGAAATAAGGTTCTGTTCTGACCCTAGCCCCACCTCCATTCTAAATTTCGTGAAGATCGGGCCATAATTGCGACCTGTAGAATGATTACAAATTAACGTGGACAGATGGACGGACATACATAGCTAGATCGACTCAGCTCGGCGAGATAGGAAGATCCATATATACTTTCCTATGTGGGAAACCAATATTTCGAGGTGTTACATAATTTTTGGCCCAATCAAACTTATAATACCCCCAACACATAGTGTTGTAGGGTATAAAAATACCAGTGTCGATCACCTCAAGCAAGCGCTTCGCCGGGAATGGGTCAAAATACCGCAGAGCAAAATTTGGGCGGCTTTTCATTGGCCGTTTGAAGGCCATAATTTGCGCCAGAGGTGACCGATTCGAATAAATCTAAACTTATTCTAAAATTTGATGCTATTTCCGACATTTTTACTTTCATCCAATAAAATTTAAAAAAAAGTAAAATAATGGCGTTTGACTTTGTTGCAGTTTTTCTCACCCTGTATATCGGTCCACTCCTTCTGGTACCTCAGCGACAAAGGGTCAAAATTTGAATAACCAAAACGATTATAATGTCCGAAATAAGCTTCACGTTTCCTTAACATTTCACACATCCCAAAATTTTTATTAACACAAGATCTGATATGAACCCAACCCCACAATTTTTAAATTTTTTAAATTAAATTTTTATTAGCTCAAAAACGTGAAATTAAAATCCGATTCCATTCAGACTTGGACAACGCAAGTTCTGTTATAAAGATGGTAGAGATCGGAACATTCCTTCTGGTACCTCCCCCAAATAGTGTTCAAAATTTTGAAAAACAAAACACGCAAATAAAGCGAAACCGCATTCAACTCTCTTCAAATTTTATACATACGAACATATTTGCTAATACAAGAACTGTTGTGAAGATGATATATATCTGTGAAAGAGCTCGTCAAGCGGGGATTTTTAAGAGTTCGTAAAAAGTTTTTCTAGGTTTTTAAAATGATGAAAATAGAGATTTCTTTGCTTTGGTGACTTAGGGTAAAATTTGATAAATAATATATTTATTTTTGACGTCATACTTTGTGTTTTGTTCAAAATTTTGGCGCGAACTCACCCAAGGTACAGCTTCAAAATGTGCTATTAATGTATGTATATGAATTCCTGTCGCTAAGGACTTTTGACGTCTTCGAGGACCTATTTAGAATTTTATGTCAAGTAATTTTATAGAATGTTTTAATTTGTTTTTTTTTTTTAACAGTTGTTGATAGTATTTTAAAAAAAGAACCAAAAAGTCCCCATTTGTTGCATCGCTTGAGGTTTACAATTTTCGACCAAAATATTAATTGTAGTTTAAATTGCAAAAAAAATCTATATCTAAAATTCCTGAGAATACCGCAGAATCTTAATCCAAAACTTTTCAAAAGTGTGAAAGAGAGGGGAGCTCGCTCCCTCTATTTTGCGATGCAATCTTTCAAAACACCGATCTTATTTCTTTAGTTTTACTTTCATAATCTGCTGGATTTCTTCAATAATTATTTTCCCCCAAAATTCAAGAGAAAAATTTATGCTTTAACGGTTTTATTTCGTACAAAAAATATCGGAACTAAAAAACAAAATCAACAATTTAATAGAAAACAATTTCGAAATTCACAATCGAAGTTAGTAGATCACAATCAAGTTTGTCAAAAACACTCCATTAATTCATAATTTTAATGAGATCTGAAACGATAACGTTTGACAACGCGATAGTGATAGCCATCCTGACCAAGGCTTCCGCTAGGGGGCAAGTAGGTTTGTTGAGGCTGAGCAGGGGGCAAGTAGGTTTGTTGAGGTTGAGCAGGGGGCAAATAGGTCTGTTGAGGTTGAGCAGGAGGCAAGTAGGTCTGTTGAGGTTGAGCAGGAGGCAAGTAGGTCTGTTGAGGTTGAGCGGGGGGCAAGTAGGTTTGTTGAGGCTCAGCAGGAGGCAAGTAGGTTTGTTGAGGCTGAGCTGGGGGCAAGTAGGTCTGTTGAGGTTGGGCAGGAGGCAAGTAGGTTTGTTGAGGTTGGGCAGGTGGCAAGTAGGTTTGCTGGGGTTGAGCAGGAGGCAAGTAGGTTTGTTGCGGTGCTACGGGAGCATCATAGTGATATCCACCTTGTTGAGCTGGACCACTGTAGCTGTAGCCGGAATCCTGCTTGGGATAATCATAGGCGCCACTCAGATGAGATACATCAGCAGCGGCAACACCCAAAATGGCACAGACCAAAGCCAAAGTGAATTTCTGTAAAATTTAATGAAATATTCCGGTTATCCATGTTGTGAAATATTGAAAATCGATGATTTGCATTTTGCGATGATTTTTGAATACACACCATTTTTGTTATTGTTTTCTTAATTGCACCTTATGCAGCAAAAGATGAAATTGAATTGTTATAGTTTCGTTAAATGCCAACGGCTTTTATACCCAACATTTTTTTACGATATTCTTCCTCGAATAGATGTTAATGTTCGATGCGTCTAACTGAGCTATGTGAGTTTTAATTGGACTGACATTGAAACTCCTCTTGTTGTCGTTATGAAGTTCAAATAAAAAACAACAACAAAACAAAGCAAAAATTCAAAACTAAGTAACCCACATAATATGAAATGCTCAAGAGAGTTTGTTATGCGTTTGAAGCCACCACGAAAGCCCATCGAAAAATGCCCAATCTGTGAATTACACCACAAAAACCAATTGCCAAAAACTGCCAAGTCACGTATGAAGATTAACCAAAGATGATCGATAATTTCTCAGAATTCAAAAGGGGGTTTATGAGCTCTAATTCGCATTAGGGTGGTTTTTAGTAGAGTACTAATAATTAATATGAATAAAAATAATAGTTATAATAATAAAATAATAATATTATAATTATAATAAAAAAAATGTTACTAATAATATTAAAAATAAAATATATTAAAACAATTTGGTTATTACATAATTAAATTTTGTTGAATGAAAGTAAAAAATTTCGGAAATAGCGTCAAATTTTAGAATAAGTTTAGATTTGTCCGAATTGGTCATCTTTGGCACAAATTATGGCCTTCAAACGGCCAATGAAACCGTCACACGCTGCCCGAATGTTGCTCTGCTGTATTTTGGCCATTTCCCGGCGAAGTGCTTGCTTGAGGTGATCGACACTTTTGTATTTTTTAGTGCCAACCTTGCTTTCCACAATACTCCAGACACAATAGTCCGACGAACTGGTATCCGGAGATTTTGGTGGCCATTGTGCGCTGGAAATGAGGCGAGAAACCTCATTTTGTAACCATTCTTAGGTGGAGCGTGCTGAGTCCTGTTGGAATGTCCAAGGTCTGCGGTTAAAATTTTGCGTGCCCAAGGCCTTAATACACTCTCCAGAATATTTTTACGATAAAATTCGGCATTTATGGCATGGTCGATTAATACGAGCGAAGTGCGACCATCGGCTGTTATGGCGGCGCACGCCATCGCCATGGCCGACGCTTAGCGGACCTCTTTGGCTAGTAAACACAATAATTTTGTTTGTTTACAAAAAAAAAACAAAATTCGGCAGTTCACCACTATCGGCCAAGCGAAGCAACTCTTTAGCTCTTTTGAATCTATTTCCTTCTTTTGCGGTGTAAGTTCTTGCACTTTTTGGAATTTCAATAGCTTTACCCCGAGCTCATCTTTTATTAATTGCCGAATGGAATATTGCGATATGTTCAGCTCACGAACCATTTTTCGGCCATTGCGATGCGGGTTTCGATCAAGTCCCTTCTTTACTTTTCCAACCATTTTTGCTGATGTTACAGTTTTCTTCCGTCCACATATAAATGCTGGAGTGCTCCAACGATAGCCACTTGTGGTTTTCCAGCCAAATATAAAGAAATCACACTATCCCGCTTGAATTCCATTCCGAATAACTTTTTTTCTGGAAAATTCTCACTAAAATGATTTTGTACGCTTGTTAACAATATAATAAGCTGTCACTGGGATAATTTTAACAGCTGTTGGACGAGTGGCTTAGAGATGACAGCAGTATGAAGTTGGTTGCAGTTTTTGTATTTTATATCATTTTTTTTTTTTTTTAATTTTTAATACAATTTTTTATTTTTTTTTTATTTTTATTTTATTTTATTAGCTATTATTGAATCCACCCTAATTTCCTTCCGAAACAAAGTAATGATTTTCTGTAGAGACACTTAGTCTACCTTTGTAGCAAAAACATTGAAAATAAAGATTTTGAGATAAAAAAAAATTCCATAGTGTAGCATATCTTCAATTTCAATGTCAAGTTTGTTGATTTTGTGTTTTGAAACAAATTACTTTTGTCTAGAGTATCGTAAATATAGCCTAAATTTAAACAAGAAAACAGTTACCGTTTTTTTAAATTGAGTCAAGGATACTTAACCATTCGTTACATAAATTGATAGGCGTTTTGATAAGCATATCTAGGCGCCTAATAATTTATGACCAAATGCTTAAAGTATGGGAAATAATGATACTGAAAAACATTAATTAAAGTACTCTAGCAGCATTTCTAGGAATTGCAAATAATATCTGCTGGTCAAATCGAAATTTTGAGTCATGATTTAATAAAACATTGTTCAAATCAATAAAAAGAAACAAATTATGGCTTGCAATTCTTTTTTGTCATTTTCTTTTTAAGCATGCTAAAACTGAACATTCCCTCATACATTTCGGTATTTCACACAATTTTTTTTTAATTTACTAATTTTTTAATTTTCTGACACTCCTTGAGGAAAAATTAATACCATCATCTAGAGTAACTAAGGATATGTTTCCTTATGACGATACGAAATAGAATGTGAACGAAAATTAACATTCTAAAATATTATTTTCAAATTATTGATCCAATTACGTCCGAAATTATTTAAGAGCGAGTGTACAAGGTTGTAATCGATAGCTGGGACTTGGAGGCTTTTGAAGGAAAAGGTGGTTATGCTTAGAATCTGTTTAAAGAAATTTGGTAGATAGAATCGATTTTTATAGCTATAGAAAAGTTTTTTTTTACAAAGAAAAAAACACATAAAATTGAGTCGTGTAAACATTGACCGCGACTAGGCCTCAAACGGTCCATCCACTTAGTCCAATTTATACTTATACTCTTTCCAACATTTCCTGCATCTCACGTTTGTATCAAACTAAGATTAGGGACATAATTGAACAATTTGGGCCCGTATACATATAACACCACCTAAACAATTACACGTCTAGTTTCCCATCCCTGAACTTGGAAATAATATTTAAATTGAATAAAGTATTATAACTATTATATTATGCAAAAAATCCCGCAATGGATAAATTTCAGAACCTAAAATGTATAAATTAAGAAATAAACTTTCCAAGATTTTTTTTAATTTCGTTTAGTATCTTTGGATACGATTTTTTTATAAAAAAGTCCTTCATTGAAATAATGTTTTAAGACAGCATTCTCCCTGTCTGGACAGCTGGTGCGCGAAGATAGTATATACTCACGCAATTAGTGAATTCGAGGTAGCAACATACTTCCCCGTGATAATCGTACCCTCAATTATATTGTTGTGTAGTTTTTTTTTATTGTTAGACTAATACCATTGCAAAGGCGTTGTTGGTCAATGCTTCTCAATTAAAACATATCCCAATCTGAACATATTTAAATATAATTTGACAAAATTTACCGTGTTTGGTGCATCAAATATATGAAATCGGCAGAAAATGTAAATGAGAGCTATATTAAAACCTTAACCGATTTCAATATAACTTCCCAATTTTTTTTGGTACCAAATTTCGTCTGTCTGTCCGAATTTCATTGAAATCGAATTTCATTTGAATATCGCGTTGGGTACATTAAATATGTAAAATCGGCCGAAAATATATATAGGAGCTATATCCAAATATGAACCGATTTAAATACAATTTAACAAATTTATATTTGTACCAAATTTAGTTACTCATGCCAAATTTCATTGAAATCGGACATACGTATCGCGTTTTGTGCATCAAATATGTATAATCGGTCAAAAATATATACGGGAACTATATCCAAATCTGGACCGATTTCTATATAATTTGACAAATTTATTTTCTGATCAAATCCCATCACACATTCCAAATTTCAAGGGAATCGAACAAACATATCGTGTTTGGTGCATCAAATAAACGAAATCGGTGTATGGGAGCTATATTCAAATCTGAACCGATTTCAATATAATTTGGCAAATTTATTTTTGTTTCAAATTCCGTTACGCATTCCAAATTCGGAAACAGTATCTGTTAGCGATCAATAGATATGTAAATATAAAATCTAAATTTTTGGGAGGTACCTCCGATTCTGCTGCTATATCTCCAGTTTCAAGTGGAATTTCAAAAAATTATATATCATACGTTACTTTCAGACGATGTTGTAGTATACATGGAATTTTTCAGGAAAATCTGTGCAGCGGTTTTCGAGTATATAAATTACAAACGTTTCCCTCTTTTATAGATATAGATGCCAAAACGTGAACCCATAAAAAATTGTTGGTGTGTGAAATTTTCATTCTCTAAGACCCTATAGTACCAAAGTACTTCTACTTCCTTTTATGGCCGACTTCTTCACGTACCGTAGCAACTGATAGCTTTACGAAAACGTGGACCTGTATAGCCTATTATCTGCCAGAGAGGGTGGGCCCATGGCCCATGCCAACCTCGAGAAAATTCCATTCAAAATGTGTTTAAAATTATCTAAACACCAAATATCGGTTACCGTTGTATGAAGTACACCACAATTCGAACCTATTTGGAGAGTTCTTACAAAATTTGTTTTCCGTCGACTAGGAACACAAACTGCCGATTAACAACAAATTCTGTAAAATAAATCTGACTAAACCACCAAAAAGACTCAAATTCGGGTGATACCGTTATATCGTGGTTATAAAAAATCATTGACCTATATGTTTATTATTAATACAACAAGCTCTACGAACCTAGATCACATTTGAGTAAATTCTGCCAACCTGTATCATACCGAATTTATATACTTTGTGGGGTCTACAATGATTATTTCGAAGGTTTATAAAGGGAATATCAATTAGTTAGTGTTAATAAATTTCCAAACATGTTTTTTCATTTAAATGATAGAAAACCAGAAGGTCTTCTCATAGAAGACCGGAAAGTCTACTCCTAGAAGACCTGAAGGTGTTCTCCTAGAAAACATGAATGTCTTCTCCTGGAAGACCAGAAGGTCTTCTCATAGGAGACCATAAGGTTTACTAATAGAAGACTTGAAGATCGACTCCAAGAATCTGAAGGTATTTTTTTTTCTCCTAGACGGTTTTCTCCTAGACGGCCAGAAGGCCTTGTTATATATGACCAGACCTGCGATTATTTTTTATTATTATTTTCTTATTTTATTTTATTATTATTTATTTACACATTTCCAAACAAACCTTCATCATGTCTCGTGGACTACAGTAACATCAAACTACATGGCACATTTCAAGATTATTGATGTAGAATATAAAATCACAGTTATTACTGCCTTTAAGTTTTTCGCCCTTTACAAGCCATCATTAATTAACATGAAATTTTCCAAGATTCTAGCTTAATTTTATTCATATTTAGATGTCAGTTGAAAAATTGATTCTTCCCCCCTGATATTATAAATTACTTTTCAAATTGTTGTGGAAATTTACCCTCAAAAACATCTAAAACTAAACAAGTTATTAGTTTATGTCCAAACGTTTGTGCAAGAATGGCCTAAATGTCTTATTTTTGGTAGAGATCGATTTAAACGTGTAAAGCTTGACATACAAATACCCAACAATTAAAAATTAATGTCCAATCGTTAACTCAAATTTATAATTCATCTCCAAAATCCCCCCTTTTTCGTTTTATTTACAACGTTAACACATATTTCGAACATGTTTCGTTTTTTGTTCCTACACACAACATTCGTATTCGTTCATACCTATATATATATACATACATATGTAGTCATTAATGATAAAATCATTTATTTAGACCATTAATCATTATTTTGCTTTAAATATTAACAATGTTAGAGAGGTCTTTTATGTAAAAATGCCCAGCCACCAACCGCAACATGCTACAATACCACAGCAACAACAACACAGAATCATAACAACAATGGTCCCAAAACACACACACACACACACAGCATGAATAATAACTCGACCATTGGCATCAGAAGAGTAACCTTTACACTTAAATGTGCATTTCCATCCCAAATAACCATCATCATCATCGTCGTCGTCATCGTCATCTTGTCCGTCGTAATCGTTGTTATCTTCGTTAGCATCGTCATAGCCATCTTCATCAACGGAAGTATCAATACCATCAGTAGCATCGTTTGTATCAAGTTCAAGCAACAACAAAGGTGGCTCTGGCTTATGGTGGGTCAGTAGTTCCGTGGCAGTTAGTTCTGCGAGAAGCAATGACAGCATTATAAATAGTTTGTCAATGTGTTGGGTATTATTTCTTTTTATACCCTCCATCATTCTACAGAGGGTATATTAGCTTTGTCATTCCGTTTGTAACTCTACGAAATATTCATAATAGACCCTACAAAGTATATATAATCTGGATCAGCGTAAAATTCTAAGACGATCTAGAGTTGTACGTCTATTCAGGGTGAGATAAAAAACTGCAACAAAGTCAAATGCCATAATTTTTACATTTTTTTCAAATTTTATTAAATGAAAGCAATAAATGTCGGAAATAGCATCAAATTTTAAAATAAGTTGAAATTTGTTCGAATTGGCCACTTTGGAACGAATTATGGCCTTCAAAGGACCAATGAAACCGTTAGACGCTGCCCAGACGTGCCCAAGGCTTCAATACACCCTCCAGAATATTTTCGCGATAATATTCGGCACTTATTCTGATGCAACGGTCGATTAATACGAGTGAAAAGGGACCATCGGCTGTTATGGCGGCCCACATTGTCACCATGGCCGGCGCTTGAGTTCTTGTGGCCAACCAAATGTGCACATTTTCAGCTGACCTCATCGGCAAGTAAACAAGATCATTTTGTTTGTTTACAAACTGCTGGACAACGAATGTTTTCTCATCTGAGCGGAGAAAACTAAATTCGGCAGTTCACCATTTTCGGCCAAGCGAAGCAACTCTTTAGGTCTTTTGAGTCTATTTTCTTTCTGTTGCGGTATAAGTTCTAGCACTTTTTGGCATTCAATGGCTTTACCCCGAGCTAGTTTTTAAATTTTTGCCGAATGGAATATTGCGATATGTTCAGCCCACGAGCCATTTTTCGGGCACTGCAGCGCGGGTTTCGATCAAGTCGCTTCCTTACTTTTCAAACCATTTCTGCTGATCTTGTTTTTTCCGTCCACTTCCGCCAGTATCACGGTAACGAGCGATTGTACGAGGCACAAAATATTTATTCACATCTAAATGTTGGAGTCCTCTAACGATAGCCACTTGTGGTTTTCCAGCCAAATTTAAAGACATCACACTATCACGCTTGAATTCCATCACGAATAACTTTTTTTTTTGGAAAACTCTCACCAAAATGCTTTTGTACGCTTGTAAACAATATAATGAACTGTCACTGGAATAATTTTAACAGCTGGCGGACTAGTGGCTTAGAAATAACAGCAGTCTGAAGTTGGTTGCAGTTTTTTCATTTCACCCTATATGTTGTAATCACGCTATCTTTCGAACGAACTGGGATAGAAGGCTAAAATTTAGCATAGTTTGCCAGTAGCCAGGTTAATTTCGTAAAAGGGCCATGTCGGTCCACGTTTTCGTATAGCCCCCCATGTAACGGTACCTCCAGATATTCGTTATTTTCAAGATTTTAGCGACATTATGTACCAGAATTATATCAAATTTCATTTTTAAAGTTCGTAAGGGGTACTACAGCCTACGACAAAAAAAATTGTATGCAGGTCCACGTTTTCGTATAGTCCCCATATAACGGTACCTCCCGATATGCTGTATTTTGACGATTTCAGCAACATTATATACCGGAATCGTTTAAAATTTCATATTGGAAGATCTTAATAGGTACTGCAACCTATGGAAAAAAATTCGTATGCAGATCGAAGTCTTCGTATAGCCTCCATATGACCTCCCGGTACTCGAAATGTTCATGATTTTTGCGACATTATTCGCCGGGACTGTTTTCATTTAAGTGGTAGTTTTCGGAATTTTTGTTTTGAAAAATTTTCAACTTCCTTCCAAATGGTGGAGGGTATTAAAAGTTCGGTTCGACCGAACTTATTTGCTTTTTTTCCTTGTTTTATTATTGAAAAACCTCAACAAAATTATAAATCTTTTGTTTGACCTACCGTTACGGATTGACCATTTATTGTCGTCATTTTGTGATTTGAGATTTTGTCACGTGTTTTGGATTCATCAGAGATTTGTAAGCATTTTGTAAATTTTATCTGATCCATGCCATACAATGAAGGGAGTGTTTTTTTCGTTTGTACATCCATTCTTCCATTTGTATGTTTTCAGGCGTTCATCATCAAAGAGTTTCATTCATTCATTCATATTTTAACACGTCCGGAGACATCATAAATTATTTGCAAACACTGTAGTACTGAGCATCAAATTTGCCCTGCACAAAAGCGTGTCGAAAGAAGATAAAATTGACTATGACAATGTTGTGATTTGTTAATTGAATATTTGAGGTCATTTTGAGCTTGTATATGGCAGAGTACGGAAATGTTGTAGTAATCCATTAATCATCATCGCAGAAGTTGATTGGTATTGGAATTTATGACAAATAGATTTTCAACCTGTGACATTTTTCGTTTTTTTGAGAAAAGAAAAATATATATAATAACTTGAAAGAATATAGTCACACACAACCACTAAGCAGGCAGAGTTTGCAGATAAATCTAGAAACTAAATTTGAAGCATTAATCAAAATTATGTGGGAAAGTTGGGCGATGAAAACTGCAAAGGCCTAGGGAGCATGGTTAAACATAGACCTTAGGGTTGCGGATTGAAAAATATGTATCTATAAAAGCAAACCAATAAGTCGGGCGTGCCGATTATATGATACCTTGCAACCATTAGCATTATTTCCAAGTTATACCAGTAGTAAACACATGATTATAATGGGGATATGTTTGAAGTAAATCGCACAAACTATGGCCGTAATTTAATGCAGATTTAGAGCAGTTGAACTTTGAAATTGGATGAAACTAGTATATAAGACCACAATGTTTGAAACATGTATATGGAAATTAGCCACAGAAACAGATAAACGGATATATCTAGATCGTCCTGAAACGAAATTCATCCAAAGAGACCAATGGTGCAAAACCATTATATCGATGAGGCACATTTTGGCCGAAATTTTGAAGAAATCTGGATTTACAGGGTGAGATAAAAAAACTGCAACTAAGTCAAACTCAATAATTTTAAATATTTACTGAATAAAAGCAGAAAATGTCGGAAATAGCATCAAATTTTAGAAAAAAATTTAGATTTGTTCAAATTGGTCACCTTTGCCACGAATTATGGCCTTCGAACCGTCACACGCTGCCCGAATGTTGCTCTGCGGTATTTTGGCCCATTCCCGGCGAAGCGCTTGCTTGAGATGATAGATACTTTGGTATTTTTTTTATGTCAACCTTGCTTTCAAAATACTCCAGACACAATAGTCCAACGGATTGGTATCCAGAGATTTTGGTGGCCATTGTGCGCTGGAAATGAAGCGAGGAGCCTCATTTTTAACCATTCTTGGGTGGCGCGTGCTGAGCGCGATGGTGTTGAGTCCTGTTGGAATGTCAAAGGTCTGCGGCCAAAATGTTTGCTTGCCCAAAGCTTTAATACACCCTCCAGAATATTTTCGCAATAATATTCGGCATTTATTTTGATGCCACGGTCTATTAATACGAATACGGCTCACACAATCACCATGGCCGGCGCTTGAGTTCTGGTGGCCAACCGAAGGTGTACACTTTCAGCTGACCTCTTTGGCAAGTAAACACGATAATTTTATTTGTTTACAAACTGCTGGACAACGAATGTTGTCTCATCGGAGAAAACCAAATTCAGCAGTTCACCACTTTCGGCCAGGCGAAACAACTCTTTACCTCTTTTGAGTCTATTTTCTTTCAGTTGTGGTGTTAGTTCTTGCACTTTTTGGAATTTCAATGGCTCATTTTTCGATATTTGCCGATTGGAACATTGCGATATGTTCAGCTCACGAGCCATTTTTCGGCAACTGCGAATAGGGGTTCGATCAAGTCGCTTCTTCCCATTTCTGGTGATGTTGCTGTTTTCTTCCGTTCACTTCCTTGACGTCGGGCTACGCTACCAGTATCTCGGTAACGAGCGATGGTACGAGACACAAAAGATTTATTCACATTTAAATGCTGGAGTGCTCCAACGATAGCCAATTGTGGTTTTCCAGCCAAATATAAAGAAATCACACTATCACGCTTGAATTCCATCACGAATAACTTTTTTCTGGGAAATTCTCACCAAAATTCTGATGTACGCTTGTAAACAATATAATGAGCTGTCACTGGAATAATTCGGTCGAGTGGCTTAGAAATGACAGCAGCCTGAAGTTGGTTGCAGTTTTTTCATCTCACCCGAAAAGTACTTAAAATTGAGCTATTAGAGCTAAATTCGAATAAGGTAAACAGTTTTTATTTTAAGATAATTTTGTTCAGGAAATTCGATCCAAAAGGTCAATGAAATTGTGCAGTTAAAAATAATGAATTCATTAAGTTATATTGACTACCGAAATTAAAATTATGTGCCACCTAGTTTCTTCTAAATACTTTTTAGTGCGTGCCAAATTTTTCATAATAAACCTTAATTATTATATCAATACACTCATCCATTCAAGACCAATACGAAACCCCTGTTTCGAATATTAGCGGGTTAAAATAGCTTGGCTAGTGTCTTTAATTATCCGCCAATTTATGTTCATAATCGATGGCAGTTTATTTCCAATTATCTTCGGCATTGGTTAATATATGGCATGTGTGCGTCATTACAGTTAAATCGAAATCAATTTGCTATATTAAAATCCGTGGAAGAAATCTGCAAAATTAATTAAAAATTGGATAAAAGTTTGAACGGTGTTTACCTACATAAAATAAGAAGCTCATCTTCTTAACAAGATATATTTAGTTTTAATTAATTTTTTTTGCAATTTGTACAAGGGTCACTATTTTTGAGTGGATCAGTGGAACGAGACTTGGACTAAAATGTATAATATTTGGAACAATTTGGTATTGGGTGAACAGATAGTGTTTGAAATCTAATTATTTTTATTAGGGTCGCCGTGTAGCCTTGACAAATGGATGTGGTTTCAGAAATGTGTACTATAATTGTACGAAAAGTACTGAGTGGTACTAAATGTGGTATTGGATGAAGGAATATAGCTGAAATCCTGAAAGTTTGAGATTTGGGGGTGGTTGGGAAATTCGTCCCATATTTGTACGAGATTTACTGAATGGTACTAAATATGATACAGGATGAAGGGATGGGGCTGGAATGCTCAAATTTGATATTAAGGCCTCTCTTGGTATCTGGAATTGAGATATGTAGTTGGTTTTGGAAATGTGTGCTTCAGTTGTACGAAAAGTACTAAATAGCACTATATTGGTATTGAGTTAAGGGATTGAGCTGAAATTTGATAAAATGTCACTGTTGGTGTGGTTGAGATAAGGAACTGGTTTATCATAGAGGGTGAGATGAAAAAACTGCAACCAATTTCAGACTGCTGTCATTTCTAAGCCATTCGTCCCACAGATGTTAAAATTATTCCAATGACAGGTCATTATATTGTGAACAAGCGTACAAAAGCATTTTGGTAAGAATTTTTCAGAAAAAAAGTTATTCGTGATGGAATTCAAGCGTGATAGTATGATTTCTTTATATTTGGCTGAAAACCACAAGCGGCTATCGTTAGAGCACTCCAGCATTTAAATGTGAATAAATCTTTTGTGTATCGTACCATCGCTTGTTATCGTGATACTGGTAGCGTAGCCCCACGTCAAGGAAGTGGACGGAAGAAAACAGCAACATCAGCAGAAATGGTTCGAAAATAAAGAAGCGACTTGGTCGAAACTCGCGTCGCAGTGACCGAAAAATGGCTCGTGAGCTGAACATATCTCAATATTCCATTCGGGAAATATTGAAAAATGAGCTCAGGGTAAAGCTATTTTCAAATTCCAAAAAGTGCAAGAACTTACACCGCAAAAGAAAGAAAATAGACTCAATAGAGCTAAGGAGTTGCTTCGCTTGGCCGAAAATGGTGAACTGCCAAATTTGATTTTCTCCGATGAGAAAACATGCGTTGTCCAGCAGTTTGTAAACAAACAAAAATAGTGTGTTTACTTGGCAAAGAGGTCAGCTGAAAACGTGCACCTTCGGTTGGCCACCAGAACTCAAGCGCAGGCTATGGTGATGGTGTGGGCCGCCATAACAGCCGATTATCGCCCTCCGCTCGTATAAATAGGCCGTGGCATCAGAACAGGGTGTATTAAAGCCTTGGGCAGCTAAATATTTTGGCCGCAGACCTTGGAAATTCGAACAGGACTCAGCACCACCGCACTCAGTACGCGCCACCCAAGAATGGTTACAAAATGAGGTCCTGGCTTCATTTTCAGCGCACGATGGCCACCAAAACCTCCGGATACCAATCTGTTGGACTATTGTGTCGGGATTATTTTGGATAGCAAGTTTGGCACTAAAAAATACCAAAGTGTCGATCATCTCAAGCAAGCTCTTCACCGTGAATGGGCCGAAATACCGCAGAGCAACATTCGGACAGCGTGTGATGGTTTCATTGGCCGTTTGAAGGCCATGATTCGTGCCAAAGGTGACCAATTCGAACCAATCTAATCTTATTCTAAAATTTGATGCTATTTCCGACATTTTTTCTTTCATTATTTTTAAAATGCGTACTATATTTGTTCGGAAAGTACTAAATGCTACTAAATTTGGTATTGGGTGAAGGGATGGACCCAAAATTCTGAAATTTGATATGGATGACACTGCGAGTACAATATTTATACTACAGAGTAATACAATCTGTAATGGGTGGAGTAATACATAATGTAATGGAGTAATACATTTTGTAATGAATTGAAATCACAGTTGGTTTCAAGGGTTTAAATATGGAGGCATTGAAATAGTTTTGGAAAGAAAAATTAGATTTGGGTCCATTCTCAATGGTTCTTTTAATATCATCCTCGGTAAAATAGAAAATGAAAGATTTTGAACCTTCAAATGAACTTCAAAGTCTGAAAATTTAGTACGATATATGAACGTTTGCATATTTCCAAACGTTTTCATACCCTCACTGTGAAGGTTATCTAAAATTCGAACTGGCCGAACTAATTGTCACAAATGTTAAAATTTTAGTAACATTAAAAATACTATTCTCAGTACGATATTTACTTCGACCTATTCGCATTTCTAGCTTTAAATCCATAAAATATCCATTTGCTCTTTTTCATACCACAAAGAAGCTAAAAAAAGAACAGGCAAATATGACCAAGAAATTTATAACTATTTCATTATAATTTATTATACGAACGAAACATTTGCCGAGGTGATGAAGTTTTCTTTTTACACCAAAGAGAATACTTGGAAATTTGCTGTTCGTTTGAGACTTCTTCTTCTGGTGTTTCATAAACAAGTTTTCTTCTGTGGCCAGAATAAGAAGAAATTTCTTTGACATTTCTGCTGAATGTAGCATTGTC